CCTTAACAGCAACCCAGAAACTCCCGGGACCCTTCGTGCAGGAGGAGGAGGCCGAGAAGCCCTCGGCCCCGAGCCCCTTTGGCCTCGACACCAAGGAGCTCCCCGAGGCCGAGGAGCCGATGCCTATAGGGTTTACATGAAATAATCGTAGTAATTGCAATAGTAATAAGAATAATAGTTAATAGGAATAGTAATAACAATAATTGTAGTAATGATGATCATAATAATCGTAGCAAGAATGAGAGTAAGATTAATGAGCGTCATGTAGTACTGATAACAATCGTAAAATAGTGGCAGCAATGTTGATTATAGTAAGAACAGCAGTACTAAGAAATGTGCTTATCATAATCGTGGTAGTAATGTGAATTCTAGCAACAAAATTAACAATAATCATGATGATGTGACCCCAATTACTAGTTATGGTATCGGGGAGCCTTTCTATAATCTAGAGTACGTGGATGACAAGCTTCTATTCTCAATTGCACAGCCACAACATGGACAGGGTCCTGATAAGCCTTCAGGGTGAGTGGAACTTAACATGTAGAAAACGGAAGTACGGAGATACTTCAAGGCCCTCAGGACGGCAGCACGATGAATATTGTAGAAGGTATGGCCAAAGAGGGAGGCGGATCCAGTCAGATCTCTGATGGGTGAAGAACCAATTACAGTAATTACTATTAGACTGTAGGTAATTGGGGTTGCGGCCGGGGTTACATCAGGTCCATAGGATCCTCGTTAAGGCGTTGGGGATGAGGGTTGGCATGAGGGTTACATGGGGACTACTGTAGGGTGATTAAGGGAGATACTTGGAGTTTAGACTATGGCTCCTATGTTTCCCAATACTGTTGTCACACATGTTTGCTCTTGATGATCTACTGACCGGAGTGCCCGCCTGGAATTTTCTGCATATAGGCTATTCTTTTAGGTTGGGTATTGCCCCCGCCCAGTAACAGTCTATATTAGGGGTCCTATTAAGGGCTAACCCTATTATATTTATTATCCAACTGTTACTGAGGGGGGGCAGTACCCAACATATAGGCTATTCTTTAAGGTATGCTCTGGATTAGGGACCCTTAGTTTTGCCCAATCTGATGGCGACCTGTGGCCATGCGAGGCTTGCAAGGGACCTGCTACCTCTGCGCATGCCATGGGATGTCCTGAATTAGATTGGGCTAGTTTCGGTTATTGTGACACCCCAATAAATCGACAAACATACATTCGGGGAAGGTTCCAGAGCAGATATAGTAGCTTCCCAAGGTAGGGGGGACCTCGATATAGATCCCCAAAGTCTTATTATGAGGATCCTCGAGAGGGTAGCCCTATCTTGGGAAGCCCGTTTTTTGATTTCCCCTTTCTCTTTTTCAGGAGCCTTCCGCAGAGGTGGAAGAGGTGGAAGAAGTTGCAGAGCCCTCTCTAAAGGTGACTCGGAAGGTAATCCTAGAAGCACTTACAAGGTTTCTGTGAAGGAATTAAAATAACAAGGAAACCCGATTACTTACTGCATACCCATATTATCGTAACCCTAAACCTTAAATGGATCCATATAGCCATATTATGGTAACAACTGTGCTGTACAATGGGGGGTTCACAGGGGTTATACGGGGGTGTATAGGGTTTAGGGATCAGGGTTTAGGGTAAAATTGGCGGTGTCTTTTCTGCGGTCCCTGTAATGAGGACTATAGTATTGTGGGTATCTAAGTTGGGCCCCCCTTATTCTTTAGGCAGTTTATGGCAATATCACTGGCGGACACGAAGCTTGAAATTCAGGTTCAAGACCCTGCTCACTCAGAGTCAGAGAGTTAATTTTGGCAGTTCAAGGGTGAAAGAGGCCTGTAGAAGAACAGTTGCGACAATCGCCGAGATGATGATAAGCTTGGCTTTCCAAAATCGATTGCCGCCCAAAACCATTGGTTCTGCAGAACAAGAATAGAAGCTACAACACGATCTGGCGCAAACTCAATTTGGGGATTTCTAAAAATTTGGTTGCCGCTTTTGGAGCCGCACTAGAAAGGATTCTACCTGAATGGGGTAAGTAGACAAGGAGACCTATTCTCTCAGGAGCACCCATCATCACGACCTGACATGACTGGGTTGCTGTTCCGGAACTCTCTTGAAGTTACTGACTATTATAAGGAAACCTCATAACTTACAATATACTTTTCTTATGGCAGCTTAATTTCAGTTCCTAGACAACAAGCCAGATGAGCGTGCCAACCCAGGAAGCCGAAGAAGAGGCTGAACCTGCTGAGGCCAGCGCACTGCAGTTCAGCTAATGCTGCATCATGCCATGCTGTATAGGGCTAAGGGTAATCCCTCCCCCAATATTAACCCCCCTATATTACATATTCCCAACACATCATAATGGACCACAATGGGAATATTTGATATTCGGCCATGCTACATTTTTGCTTGCCAGACGGGATGATCCAGGCATGTCATGGCGAGTCGCCACGATGATATAGGGATGAAATACGAGCCCAGGGCTCATAGAGAAGGATTGGCTCCCAGCGTTATGGGTGTGTAGAGTTTCCTAGGCTGGTTTTCCTGGCCTAGATTGAGAATAGCAGAGAGAGTTTAGGCACTATTGCCCCAGGCAAGCCCCTGATTCGGTTATGTTTAAGACGGGAAAAGTTCATGATAGATTTATATGCATGTTCGGAACCCTTGCGGCAAACCAGATAGTCGGTCATTTTCAGTGTCAAGCAATGACTTCCAACCAGAGAAGGCGAAGTAATTGGTAATTACATCAAGTGAACGGGTTACTCCATCGGACTCGGAAAGCTGTTCAGCGGCGCATGCCCCAGCATGGCGAAGATCTTGCACAACTTTTTGATCCAATGTGAACAAATTTTCGGTGCGCATTGGTATGGCCTGTGGGATGGTTCATGGCTGGGTTGGTGTTTGGGATTCATATGCGTTTAGGGTTAAGTATTTTATGGGTGTCATAAGGCTCTATATACTAATATTTTTCAAAAGGCTCCAACGGCCAACCAAGCTGGAGGATCCCATACCTCGCGAATGATACCCCTTTCCCCACGCTTACCACAAAGTTTGCCCCGAAATTTAAAAGAAAAACACTTTGCATAAGGCGGTGGGGGATATAATCAGGGGGATGGGATTAATTAGGGCTAGGGCTTACTGGGACCACGTTACTTTCGGCAGCACGGAGGGTCTTGTGTAACCTCTATGCAGGAAATAGCGGCTCTTCGCTGCATGGCCCTGTTTACGTCCAGTAGATACAACATAGAAATTTGAAACCTAGAGAGTGCCCCCCATGTACTTCATGTTGCCGGAGGCCGAAGAATCGGAGGCCGAAGAACCGGAGGCTGAAGCTTCTGAAGCTTCGGAGGCCGAAGAACCGGAGACCGAAGCCTCCGAGGTCGAAGCCGAAGCCTCAGAGTCCGAAGAGCCGGAGGCCGAGGCTCCGGAGTCTGAGGCTGAGGAGGCTCCGGAGGCCGACGCTGAGGAAGCGGAGGCCTCAGAAGCTCCAGAGGCTGAGGCGGAAGAGGAGGAGCTGGTTTTGGGGGATGTTTAGGTGCGAGGGAGCACTTATGTACGTAGAATTTCAGGTGCGACAAGCAGGTTTGTGTTATAGCTGTACTGTTTGGACACCCCTCAACAATCCGGGTATCTACTCTTACTCTTCCCTTTCCAGTAACCTCTTCATGCTATTTCATGCTCCTATGAAAGGAAATCCTAAGGATTACTTCGCATACCCCAATCTGCAAGACAACTGCGGCCATGACTTAAATCCCTCACCCCTACACTTTAGAAGCCTTGTTTGGGAGCTTCAAACATACGCACCGTAGCTGTATTCCTTATCATAGGAACCGTCAAGAAAAGGCCGCCTCTTGTTAGAAACCCTAAGCCCTTAAAAAACCAACTGCATAGTCTCAGCTTCTATTCCATGTTTTCTTGTTTTTCCTATTTGATTCTCCTGTTTGGGGGTATTTCGGGAACAACCCTACTCCCCATGTCAAAACTGGAGAATCAGTGGGCCAAGAAGGAGTCCGCAGAGGAAGCTGCTGAGCCCTCAGCAGCCGAGGAGGCACCTCGGATTCAAGAAGTCCTAGATAGAGGGCTTGTAAGAGTTGTGAGGGCTTTGGGGGCAGGGGCTATTCTGTAAAAATGTTATCGAGTCATCGTATTAGATTTTAAGGACCATGCAGGAAAGCTAAGCTTGGATGTAGGCAGGCATTCCTGAGCGTCCCAAATGTTATGGCATTTGAGACATCCGCATGTTGGAATGCAAGATCAGGCGGAAACATGTGCTCATCTGGGATAGCCTTTGGCCCGTGCTGCCAAGTCCAAGCCTGTCCGGATGCCGCCCGCCTGAACGTGAAACCAAACAATGCGACCGCTTTGCTGTGAAAAACAGCAACAGGAAGTGTGGGGAACTTTCAAGGAATCATCTTGCACCTTGCGTTTTCGGCGCCTCCAGGTGAAAAACTGATTCAGCTCAATCCTTGAAGCTACGAACCTAAGGCCTCGACTCTTAATTTGCTCAAGACCCTTGACCGGGGAGCATTTTTCTTATTCCTTGTTAGTGCCAGCACGAGTAGCATCAAGAACAGCAGCACCCTGCGTCCTCCACAGCCGCCTGCACGGCCACCGCCGTCTGTTGCCGCAAGGGCAAAATTTGGAGCTCGTCGAGGGGCGCTTTGCTTGTAAGAAGTCCCCACCTTGCACCAGGAAGTTCCAGCCATTTCGGAGACCTCAGAGACCTTCAAGGGCACGGGCTCCGAGAACTTCGGATTCACGGTGGCGCGCCACGGCGTAGCTTCCACGAACGCAGCCAGGTTCTGTTGAGCAGATTGTTGCCCAAGGTGCTTCAGGGATGTATTATGTGGGTGTAATAGGGCCAAAGTAGTTTGATTTGGACTCGGGCGGCTAGGCAGACTTCGGCATTGTGCGTCTGCTCGCTGAAGGTTCGGTTTAATTAGGTATGTGGTAGTTTCCCTAAATAAGGGGACCCCAATATAGACCCCAATATATTATAGTCCTTATTATTGGAACCCCCAATAAGGTACCCCTAATTTTGGGAAACCTCTATGTTTACAGGATGCACAACGCAAGCATCCCTGGGCAAGGGCTGGGTTGAGCACGGGATTAGCAACACCTGGCACACACCGCCAAGATAATTTGCATCCCAAGCATCTTCGCATCTAGTTCGATACAGTACCATGAGAGTAGGAGGCCTACAAGTGGGTCAAGGATGCTAGTTGCTCGAAGCCGCACGCCCGAAGTCCTAAATAAGGCAACATCCTTCCCAGAAATCCTTTTGCATTCGATCACACCGCCACGCATCAAATTGGGCATCCTAAACGTGACACCCAAAGTCGTCCCCCAAGATCCAAAAGGGTCCGTCTTTTTTGAGAGACCCCCATTTCAGTTCAATCCTCCACGCTTTCAACCGCCTAATTTGCCCCTCTTCCGAGGCGAAGACGACGGTCAAGAAGGTCAATTCCACGAAATCGTCTCACAACACCACAAAAGCCAAGGAAGGCGCTGATCCCAGGTGGGGAGCACCGGAAGAAAGACTTTTCTGGGATGGGCAGTAAAGGTTTTGGGGGGTTGTGTAGGCCTCAGGTTTTTGTATGTCAGCTTCTGACTTAAGATTGTTGCACACCTTCCGCTTGAATCTTTGCCCCATACTATACACTCCTCTCTCCTTACGCTGCTCTAGAAACCAAATGCCCTGTCGTTTTTTTGAGCGCCTTTGGGCTAGATTATTGTGGTTCTTGAATACCCCTGGAGGAAGTATATAATCCTCCCTCCCTAAGAGTAAAACCTCCCCCCAACCCCACTTAATATCAAATGCTCCCCCTTGTGGTATATTGCAATATATTGGGAGTATTTAATATCAGGGGGGGGTGAGGGGTTTAATATTAAGGGGAAGGGAGTATTCAAGGTGCTCCCAAATGTTTGCCAGAGTCCTCAGGTGGGTCTTCGGGCAATCAGGCACCGAAGTGACGAACCAGGCACCCCCAGGGCGTGATGTCATGTGAGAATTGCAAAGCAAGCTGATAAGGATTCAACTGGTATCTGGTAGGTGGACCACACACCCAAGAATAATGACTTTCAGGGATAATACGAATATATTAGGGTCGTACTATGTTCCTACCATACCACTGTTACAGGGGGGGGTCCTCCTAAGGTTTAGGGTTTCTAGTGCTTCTTTTCTTTTTTTAAAGTTGTCTGGCAGTTGTGGTGTTCCACTTGGCAAGTGGTTTTGTTGTTTGAGGAGGAACGGGAGGTTGCGGTCTTTGCGGGCTGGTACCAGAATGGTAGGGCTGGCTATAGGGATGCTTGGAGCATCCGATCAAAACCCCAGACCTTAAACCGTTTTAGGGTCTAGGGCCCAAATTGTTTACCTACGTCCCTAAACACTGCAAGATTGAAGAAACCTTTCTCTTATCATTGCAATTAGAAAGTTGGTTCGTCAGGCTGGCTACACTAGGAGTACTTAACAGCTGTTAGAATAATTAATGCTCAGACTACTTCTGTCCTGATTTTTCCAGTTTTTAGTAGCCCATACCCCCGGAGGACCCCAAAGAAGATCCTTCTAAGCATCCTGTTTCGGGATACATCTACAACTTCAGAGGGTTTTGAGGATCCCTGGAACTTTATGCCGGATACTGCCCACACCTCCGACCTCATGGCCCCTAAAGCTTCGAGAACCTCCTAGGCCCAGGACACTTCAAAACACCAAAACCCCCAAATCATGCACCCTAAAGCCCTCAACCTCAAAGCAAACCTAAACGCAAATTCGGGAGCCTCAAAACCTACACCCCTTGAACTCTGGCCCTGAAACAACAGCTATGTAAATCCCTAAGCCGAAGCCGTAAGAACATAAAGTCGTTAAATTCTCAACCTCTGGAGCTCAACTAGAAACTGTTTAAATCCTGAACCGGCCTCAAACAGCAAGCTGTCAAATTCTCAGCCCAAGGCCCTAAAAACAGAAACCGCTTAAAGAGAAGCAAGCTAAGATTCTGAACCCCAAGCCCTCAGACAGAAGCTACTTGCATCCTCAACCCTAAGCCCTTTACATTGTCAACCCGGCGTCCTCAAACACAAACCTTTAGGGCTTAGGGTTGAGGGTGCTAGATCCTCAGCCCTAAGCCCTTAAGCAGAAATTAGCTAAACATCCTTGACCCCAAACCCCAAAGGTGGAGGTTGAGGCCCCCACCACCACCTTCAAACTCAGCGCGTCCGATGCGCTTGGAGAGCCGTCCTTGGGCCTGGCACAGAAACAAGGCCGGTCTTTCATGGCTTTGGGGGAGTCAGGGTGGCTTACCGGGGGGTTATATAGTAGGGAATAAGGGAATACAGTATATGGGAATGATATAGTAGGGAATAAGGGAATACAGTATATGGGATGATATTCCCTTTTATTCCCTACTAACTGCAAGTAAGGTGATGGCAGTGTTGTTTCTCTGTGTTTTTTCCAGCCTCTAGCGAGAAGGTAAGCAATTGAGCAAAAACATGTTGCAGCGAAATGGAAGAGCCGACAGCGAGCAAGCCACTCAGGCACCAAGCCCGAGCAAACAAGCAGAGATACGCACGCAAGCATAAACCACAGCACTGAGATTCCTCAGCAATGTCTTCAAAAGCAGACGAGAGCTGCACAAATGACATCGAGCTCCTGCAAGAAGCGACAAGTTCGCGTCTTCATCCATGACTTTGCAAATCGGACAAGTTCTGCCCGTCACCTCCAAAGGAAACATATTGCCTGACTAATCTTACCAAAGCTTAGCACGCACCTCTACTGTACGATCTCACCTTTGCCAGTGAGTGGCTTAGATGGATCATGCAATCAGTATTGTTTTTGTTAATCACGGCTTTGCTATGACTATTGCGGTTCCTTCCCTTTGTCAGTACATTTTCTTTTCTCTATTGCTGATACTATGGTTACGTGTTTGCGCAATGACAAAGGCAAGTATAGTCCTGTTTGCTTTGAATTTTTGGCGTTTCTGCTTGAGCATATCATCAGCAATGCCAATCATTGCTACTGTTGCAGTGCTATGATGAGAAGGTTGCTATCGTTCCTGGCTTTCTCAACTGTTGGTTCCAAACTCGTTCCTTAGCATGGAGCGTCCTCGGATGTTGGAAATGTTCGTGCAAAATCGTGTTCTAGCCTTCTAACATTTGTTGACATGAAATGGTAGTTTCCCTAAATAAGGGGACCCCAATATAGACCCCAAAATACTATTAATCCTTATTATGGGGACCCCCAATAAGGTACCCCTAATTTTGGGAAACCCCCAAAATTTGTCAGTCGTGTGAAGCATCCTCGGCTTTGGGCTCCATTGACTCACAACCCAGCTCTCGCGTGGCACATCGTCACGTTCCAGCGCTCCTGCGTGGAGCTTCTTCACATCTCGGGCCGGCCAACGCAACAGAAAAAACAAGCAGCAAAAAATCAGAAGGAATCCATGAGAACAAAAACAACAGAGTTTGTGGGTTTAGGGCTGTGAGGGCTGTGTGCGAGCCCAGATGCAAAAAAAAGGTTGTGAGGGCCACTCAGATATTATGGTAGGATATTGGTAGTTCCCACAATTCGGGTCCCTTTCGTACCCCTCACTATTGGGTGCCGTAATCTAATCTATAACCAAAAGGGGCCCATGATTTTGAGAACAGCCCTTATACTCACACCTTGTAACCTTGGGGCTTGTAGCCTAGGGCCGAGCTTAGATTTCGGACATGGGTGGTTGGGAAGGCATGAACATAGTACCATTTTACGCAAAGGGAATACTGGAGTTGTATTTTAGAAATTCTTTTATTTTTAGGGGGTGGGGAGATCTACATTAGGGGAGGGTATTTTAACGAGGCCTCATCCAGAAAAAAAAATTAAGTCTGTGTGCAGAGCAGGATTTTGCTAGAAACCTGGCATTCTTACAAGGGACACGATCAATTCCCTGCATTTTCAGGTGCTCCTTTAGTGGCCTAAGCAGTTCGCGTCCACGTGAAGGACCCTAAGCTTAGTCAGAAGCCTGAGCAGAAACTGAAGCGGCCACGGGGAGACTGAGACGTCAGGAAATCCAGACAAAAAAAGTAGCCTTGTCTTTGCTGACAGTCTGACCGTCTTACAGCTTTCTTAGTGTTAAGGGCAGCTTCCAAAGCATCATGGAGGAGGCGGTCCCGTAAGCGTACAGCTCAGGACAACCCACGCCGTGTCTAGGTAAAGCTGACAATGAGCTTATGCCCACCAGTTGAGCATAACTTGCTGATTGTTAGTCGGGATGGCCATTTTGGGGACAAATCCTAAATCCTAAAGCCCTAAACCCTAATTTTGGGGACAGGTCTTTTGAACTACCATGCCTTTGGGATCTTTCAGGCAGTCACCGTTGGTGAAGCCCCCGGTAACCTGAACCTTGCTGCCTCTGCCCCTGATACCATTGGATCCTTAGAATGACGTCGGCCCAACAGTGGATTCCTAACTTGGGGACTTTGTGCCCAATGGGTGTAGGGTCTTAGCTATTCTGAACTTGGGGACTTTTTGCCCAATAGGTTTAGGGTCTCAGGGATTCTGAACTTAGGGGAGCATTGACAGCAGGTGATCATCAGCAGCTCGAGGACGCCAAGGCAAACCTTTGCGCATGGTGGCACTCCATGTGCAGCCACGTGGCCACTTGGCTGATTCGACGGTGATGAGGTGATGGGCCAGGGTTCCCTGAATAAGGGACACTGCGAATGATATAGGGGATGTGTGAGGGGTATGGGGTATGTACAGGGGTATATAGGGGTAGTTCTGGGATTTGGTATGGGCTTCTTTAGGCAAGGGGCCCCCCTCCCTGCACTCCTTCCTGTCTTTATGGAACGTCAGTTGTAGAGCGGATGGACATCCTTAACGAGAGTCAGAGACTCCTCCGGACCCCTATCATGTGGAGGCATGTGGCCATGCCGCGCATTCTTAAGGTACGGCTTCTGGTATCGAATCAGGATATGGTAGTTTCCATAGATGAGGGAACCCCAATATAGACCCCAATATTCTGCAACCCTGACCATAAAGACCCTAAACGGGCACCTGATTTTGGGAAACCCCCACATGAGCCATAGTCAAAACCTCTAGTGGCCTAGTATCCACATTAATATCCCCTACATAGTCTCCTTTCAGGAGTTTAGACTTCGGCACTAAAAGAAAGATGAAGCTCAGGATTCCACGGCAGAGATTTGCAGCAAGTACGCCAGTGTCTGCAGCTAAGTCACGCACCTTGGTGACTGACAGAACCCATTGAACACCCAGAATACCACGCCCGAATATAGTAACATTATGCCAGACAGTCGGCGAACATCTATCACTTGCAGGGTTGTGAGAGTTTGCTTGGTGGCCCTCTCGAGGCTCTTGTTGAGAAATCTGCATCTCATCACGAGATTTTTCGGGAGCGCTATGTCGTGCAAGCTGCCTGTGCAGTGTGGTATTGTCCAGTTCTAGGTTGGGCAGCGATGCTTCTGATCAGAATTGTTTCTCCTGGCGAGCAGGTGGAGGTATATTAAACAACGCAGGCCCCACAGCCACCTCTTCTGTTAGGTTTAGGGTTCTTACTCAGCCTCCTGCCACTGGATTGTAGCAGCACATGCTGATCTCTTAGCTGCTGCTATTCCTTGTGCGTCTCCTCTACTTCTGAGCAATGGTTGCTAATCTAGCTTCTGCCGTTGCTACTTGATTGTTTCTGCTAGGTTGTTATTGCTACATGCTACTACAAAAGGCGTGCTTCTTCTTGACGTGCTTGTGTCAACTTGGAGGCCCTCATTTGATACCATTGCTACTATTACTGTTGTTACGTTCATTATCGCTACTATTGAACATCGTCTAACATCCTTGTTCCTGTCTTTGACGGCGCACATGCTGGAATCTTCTTTCAGGAAGCAGCCCGCCCAACAGGACAGCATCCACCATCCCACCGAGATCTATCCGATAGAATCTTTCCCTCGCACCCTCAAGCAATCCTACAAAAAGGTGTAGACTTTCCCCAGCCTGCTGTTGAGGTCCTAGGCCCTGGTCGGTGGTGGGGGTGGTGGGGATGGTGGTGGCGTGTGAGGAGGGTATGTTGAGGGATGCCTTAGCTGTACCAAGCCGTGTGTGCGGGGAGTTCTGGTCGCAATCCGAGCCCGCTCTGTAATTCGAAGCTGCCACAAATTAAACTCAAAACCATAGCTGTAACCCAAAATTCTACATCCCTGAATACAATCTAGGCTCTAGACTCTTGACTTTATTACCGCAAATTGCTAGCTGCATGCAAAGCAGCCGCTCAGGTAATGCCGCCATCTTTGATGTTGCCATCTATTGAGGTCGGTGGGCCTTTTATCTCCCTGACGGAAGGAAATGCAGGAATTAAAGATGTTAGCGATGCCCATGATCCAGTGCCCCAATTCCTTTCGAGAACAGGGAAGTAAATAGTTGTTGCGCGAAATGTGCACCAATTTTTGTGCTTACTAGCTATATCCTCCAAACGAGGTATTTTCTTTAAAAGAGAGGCCTTCAGCACACGCTTTGAAACAGCAATCTTATACTTTCTTGGTGGCCTTCTCTTTGCGTTCACTGCCACATATTACCAAGAAGTCGAAGACTTCATGGTTCCAGGGACCTTAGAGCCTGAGGGCAGCGCAAAAAGCATTCCGTCTCACGACGGCAGCTCCAAGGCTTCTACACATGAGGGTTTCCATACCCATGGAATCATATAACTCGTATAGGGTTCAGAGTTGTTTTGGTAGTTTCCATAAAGAGGGGGGGGGGTGGTCCGAATCTAGACCCCCAACTCTTGCGTTAGTCATGGCCCTGCTGCCTGCTCTGAGCAATTTGGACCACACCTTGTCCTCGGGAACAGGACTATCGGTTTAGGGTTTAAGATTTAGGGTGTAGGGTTTAGGGCGTCTGACTGTCTTGCACTGAGCACAGGGAAGAGAGAGTAAGGGTTTAGGACATCTCTCAGGGCGATGGGGCAAAAGAACTTCTGGATGTCAGCTGCTGTCAATAAAAATTGCTGACCAAGGGATGAACACAGGGTGGGCACAAGCTTCCTCGCAAGCACCTCCACCTGAACCCCTTCTCCCAAGATATCATGGCACTATATCGGTCGGTGTGTGTGTGTGTATGTTGATTGTTAGGGGGGTGAGGGGTTCATTGTTGGGGGAGGAGATGAGTAGATCTGGTATATTTGAAGGAGCCTCGAATATTTTCGGCTTGGTCCAGAGCCTCCGCTCTGTAGGGAAGGGTTGCCAGCAGCCTTTTGTGTCCAGAACTCATATCGAATTCCATCATAGCAGCTAGAGTTTAAAACGCTTAAAAGGGGGGGTTACATAGGGGATTATATCGGGGACTATTCCACCTACTCAGGCCGCAATATCCTGCCAAAACCCTAACAACCTTGAACTCTTTACAATCAAAAACTCTTCACCAAACTCTAGAAGGGGTGGTTTATCCTGCTTAAGGTTGGCGAAGCTGATACAACATCAGCACCAAGTCCTCGTCCGTGCCCCAGTTTTGACATTGAGGAGTACTGTAGGTTCCTGATTCAGGAGCCCCTGCGTCCTTTCAGCCAAGCCTACGCCCTTGAAAGAGGGATTCAAAAAGGGGGCTTCTTCAAGGGTGCTTGTTAGAAAGAGTTCTCACCTGATAAGCCCAATGAATGTAGATTTGGTTTGCGTAGGAAACATTCACGTTGCAGGGATGGATGACTATGGTTAACATCCGGGAGGTCAGTAAGGTTGCCAGGATTAACGCAACTTGTGTTTCAATGCCCTTGCATGGACATGTCACAGAGCTTCGTGTGCGTGACATTTCCTGTTGCTGTCTGCTGTCTCATGTCAGGAAATAAGGGCGGGGGTAGATACTTGATCTTCGTGTAGTTGGACTTCTTGCCAAGTGGACTTACCTGGTGTGAAGGTTGATGGGGGCCGTACACAACATCTTTGTCGTCTCTACAAAGTAAGTCACAAGGCAGAACACCCAGAAGGCCGCAAGCACAGTCCGAGGTATACTGAAAACCCAAAAAACGCATATTCGAACCAAGATTTTGCTACGCCCCCCCTAAGCGATTGATGTTTGCATGGCCTGGAGGCCCACGAGGTTGCGCGAGAGGTGGTGAGGCAAACAGGACGACTTGGGTCCAGTTGGTTCGCCTCTGCTGTGTCATCATATGGGCTAGGGCTGAGCGGCTTCAGGTTTGAGGCTCAGGAATTTTTTCAAGATTTCAGGATAGGTGTCGGGCCACTGTTGCAGGGGTTAGAAGGGCATCCAAGCACACGGATTTTTCTTGTAACCTCAGTGACGACCTATCGTATATGAGCGCGCTTGCCGTGGAGATTTGTTCTACTGGCATTCAGGGGTGTTTCGTATGGTTCCGGTTCTGTAGTGGTTCTAAACCCTAAACCCATTGAAAGATTACAGGAGAACAGGAGACGCCTCCGACAAGGCAGCTAGGGCCTAGACGAAAGATCATCTCAATCCCTGTCAGCCCCAACTATATGAAAGGGTTTAGGGCTAAGAGCGTAGGGTTTAGGGCTGAGGGTTTAGGTAGGAACAGGGGAAGTAACTGAAGAGACCTAACCTCAGGGTACTGCCCCCGCTCAGTACTGTAACAGCTGAATTAGATAAAAGTATATTCCCTTTTTTTGTAGGGCCCTTAATATGGCCCGCATTATGAACTGTTTATGGCTGAGGGCAGGACGCAACCTACCCTGAAGAAAGCCTAGCCCTAAACCTGGAACAAGGCCTAAACAAGACCCTGCCTTCAGGAGGGCGTCCTTCAAGCCATAGAGGGGAGTCCCCTGCCTCCTCCAGGCATTCGCTATGTGAAATTTCATGCTCAAGGTGAGGGTCTTAGGTAGGATTGGGGGCGGGTGGTTGCAGAAATCATTTTTTTTCTGGTGTAGGAATTGTGATATATAGGGGCCGGGGCTGTTTAGGGTTCAGGGCCCTGGTTTCCAGGCCTCTGGTCCTTTTTGGGTAGTTAGTATATTAGCTTTTAGCATGGGACCCCGTTCATTATGGAAACCCCATCTCTCAGTTTCGGGATTCCCTGTTGTGGGAGGTCTAATTTCTGAACACGTTCATAAGATAGTTGAGAAACCATACAGAACCTACAGAGGGTTGTAGATAAGATGCTAATGCTTTTGAGAAGTACCTCAAACTCAAAGTTTGGCTAGTTCAGAAACCTCGCGACGCAAGTCTGCGAGAGCTGGGTCTTTGCGACTCCTGCGCAGATCCCAGACCCTTTTCCTGACACTATAGTCCCCCTTAAGTAGATAGAATATGGCTTTGGGTATATTAACAAGATCCCCATATATCCCATATTGTATCTAAGGGGGACTATAGCCTATTAAAGCTTCGCATGCTGCCTGCATCAGTCTCAGCTCCTTAAGCGCCTTCAGCTGTGGCTCAGTCCTTGATGTGCCAGGCCTAGAACCCGTCACAGTTCTGACTGCACGTACACTCCAGAAACTCTGGCAGTCTTATTCGACCTTGTATACATAATACTGTATGTCCTTTGATCTCAAGTTCTGGATGGCTAGCCGTTGGGGAGTACTAACAGGGCAACCGACTGGAGGCGGAACCGCATGGGCTTCAAACCCACAACTGCCGTACACCAGGAGGCAGAAGACAGATCCACAAGCCTTTCCGTCATCGGAAGAGGTCCTATTTTCCAACGACTCAAGGCTACCACTTTGAAAGAGAAGATTGAAGTTTCATCTCCTTCTCAAACAGTGGTACCCTGAAGTCTCACATTTTTCTGAAACACCTTGGGCATCAAGACCCGACACATTTGCACAGCCCAGCTACGTGCCACTCAGCGATTAGGAACTTGTCAACTACTTTGATAATGACGGTAGAAAAAATAAGAACAGTGACCAAAACATCATAACAATAGTAGTAATAATAATGGTAATAGCAATATTAATAATCGTAGACATGAGAAAATATTGATGGTAACAATAATCGTAAAAATAGTAGTTGGCTGCAGGTCTGGATTCTCAGGCTTGTCCACCCAGAGTGCGCCCGCCAACGACCCAGCTGAAGATGGGGGTTTCCCAAAACTATGGATACTTTTTTAGGGGTCCCTATAGCAGGGGTTGGAATCTTCTGGGGTTTATATTGGGATCCCCATTTAGGGAAATTACCATTTTGGCCCACTTGGGCATCCGAATATTTACTGACATGATGGGATCATCGCTTGACAGGTTCCAACGAAGAGGACCGGGATC